ACTGGGAAATGGGGCTTTGGGGTCATTACCAGTTGTGTTTATACAACATCCAAACATGGAGAGCAAAAAAAAAAAAAAGATGCTCAGTGCATCTAGTAGTATTTGTGAAATTAGGCCATGAGGTATCTTAAGGTACCTGGTTGCTATTAGCAACAGAGGGAGGGGTCCTATTTAAAAGCCGGAGCAAAAAAAAAAAAAACAAAACAACAGCAACAGTTTAATCCTCTCTGAGTCTATTCTCAGGGTCCACCTTGGAGGAGAGAGTGCTTAACCTCATTGATGGTACAGCTTTAAAACAGAATTATATTCTCTACATACAGCTCTGAGGCCTCGGGGGTAATTCTCTTCCCCCAAACATGCCCAGGAACATAAACCCAGCATTTCCAATTTGGGGAGTCATTTTGAGGGTGGCGTAGACAGTCAGTTGGTTTGGGGTTTGCTTTGCTTTAAGTGGGGGGTGGTTTTCTCTCCGTGCACACGAAGGTCACCAAGGAAAGGCCTCATCCAGGCCTTAGAGCACTCTTTGTGAGGAATGAGGCCCTCTGATCAGGCTCACACAGGCAGCTGAAACCATGGCATCCCCCTCTCTGGGTGTTTGTTTTGACAGAACTTCATTTATGCCCAAGACAATGCCCACCCTCTTTGCTCTGCCCCCAGCAGGAAGCAGTGGCTGGGGGGGGGGGTGGCAGAGTTGTCACACAGCTTCCAATTCAGGTTTTGGTAAAATGACAATGGGGCTCTAAGTGCCACAAATAAAGAGCCACCCACTAGGAGTGGGACAGGGGAGCAGGTATAGGGAGACCTGGGCAGACCCCAGGTAGAAGTCACTCCATCAACCAATCAATCAGTCAATCAGCACTACACTGTGACTACCCAAGGCTGGGCAGAGGGACCCCACCTGCCTCCCTGTAGAAGAGTACAGGCACAGAGACCTAAGGCTCCCAGGGATGACAATGCCTTCTCTTCCCTTCTCTCAATTCATCTCTACTACCGTTTCCCCTAACTAAATGAACAAACACTCAAAAAAAAAAAAAAAAACACAAAACACAAAAAACCATTAACACACACACATGCTTAGTGTTCTAATTTACCGACAGTTGCCCGGGGTGGGGGGGGGGGGGGGGAAGCAGTCTAATCTGAATCGCCCAAAATGAACAATATCCTTTAAAATAAAGGCCGGGCTAGATGGCTGGGAGTGAATGAAATGCATTACCCAACTGCTGGTGTAACTCAAGCCCTCTCCTCCCCCTCCTGGACCTCATTCATAAAAAGCCTGCTTTGCCCCAGCAGCTGCAGGAATCGGGACTGGATCTGCGTCTGTGTTTTCCAAGACAGAGGCAAAACAATTGAGACAAAGAGAATCCCTCGGATAGGACCACGGAGTTTGCCTTCTCTTGGGAAGTCTGCTGCATCTGTCTGTCTCCAGATCTGCTACCCAGTCTCCAGATCTGCTACCCAAACAGGCAGAGGGCATTCTGCAGAGCTTTGTCAGTAGCAGCTCTAACGCTAACACACCCAACGTGTTATTAAAGGAATTCCCATCTGCTGAGTCATACTCCGTATCTTTCACCTCCCTATCATTTAAAAAAAAAAAAAAAAAAGATAAGCGAGAATCAAAAGTTTTACCTTGTTGGTAACATGGGGGCTGCCAGTTTATTTAAAGATTGCCAAATGAAGGTGGAGGTGGTAACCAATTTCCTAAGAGGGGGCATTTCTTGATTGTCCAGTCTTAATTTGGTATCGCCATCCTCAAACTTTTGACAGCCATGCTAGAAACCCTAAGGAGGTAAGATACAACTTTAATTCTTAATATTACTTCACACACAAGTCAACAGCCAGTATGCTGCGTCCCTGCAAGTCCAGTGTCTTTTCGGTGGCCCGCCTCCTGGCCCAGCATCACTTACCACCTCCCAGGCCCAGGGAGGCCGGTGCTTGCAAATGAACCAGCCCTGTTCAAGCACACCCTCCCTTAGGAAAGTCAGACCTTACCATGAAAAATGAGAGGCTATCAGTTGCTTTAGACTCAACACCCTTCATAAAAACAAGGCCTGAACACAAGAGCAGGTTCTAATTTACTAAGAATGGTTTTAATGCAAGAATTAAATAGGAACAGAGCGCAGGAAGGGAAGACGGGGATAAAACCATTCTTGTTGCCCTAATACCAAGAGCTGTCTTCTGGTGAATTGAGATATAAATTCACTCCAGAGACAAGATGATCAGAGCTATTATCTGGTCCCCACTCAACTCTCGCAAAACAAATAGGGCTTCAAAATCTCCTATGGCCAGGGGTCAGGGGAGTCTGTTACATTTCCAGAAAATATGAATAATCCCATAATCCCACCCTGCTCATTGGAGCTGGGGACCAGGAGTTCATGTTCCTACATGCTCTCCAGCCAGGCGCCAAGAGATTGTAATAGAAGCCCTCAGAGCTCTCCTTAGGTAAACATTCATTTCTACCACATTCTCTCCCCCAAGGCAGCCCCTCCCCCAACCTTCGCCCAGGGACTGACAGCCAAAAAAACAAGAAAATAATTTGGAGATAGCAAATGAATCTTGTGAAATACCTGGTCTGTGATTAAATCACAATAATTCTATAACCTCTTCAAAGGCAAAAATGTCAAGATAACAAGCTGAGAGCAAAATAAACAAGTCTTATAGAAATTATGCCAAGCTTTATAAAGAGATTACCCACACCTGGCGGCCGCAGCCCAGAATCCACAATAATCTTCATTTTTTTTTAATTGCTCTCAGACCTCTGGCCACTGTGTGAGGGCTCCTGTGTAGAGACCGACAGGTCTGTGGTTCTCTGTAGGTTTTCTGTGACCACGAACACGCTTTACGTGTACCCATGACCGTTTTGGTGGGGCCCATGGTGGGGGGGTACATGAGTCACAGAAGAGAAACAGATATAGTGAGATTTTGATACCTAAATTGTCCCTGGCCCCAAATGCTTCTTACGTCCTTAGGGGTGGGCACGGTTATCCAAAGATGTGGTAACTTCCCGAGAGGAGCAGTAAAATACATACTAGGACACCCATCATTTAATAAAGTTTGTACCTAACTAAATGTGTGATATTGGGCAGTCTCTTCCTCCTTCCCTGCCATCCCATAGGCCGCTGCCCATTCTGTTGGCACTTCCAGACTCTGACTGCCTCCCCCACCACTGTGCTGAACTGTGGCCACCATCTCCTCCTACTAGTCTACTTCTATCTGTGCCCCATGGTCTATTCTCAACTCAGCAGCTGGGATGCCACGGCTCAGGTCACTCCTCTGCTCAGAACCCTGCCAGCCCCTGTCAGGGTCAAAGCCAAAGTCCTTACCATGGCCTCTGGCCCCAACTGACCTGCTGCACCATGGCCTTCTGGCCTCCTTGCTTTCCTGCACCCCTTCTTTTAGGTCTCTGCCCAAATGCCATCATCTCCGAGCACACTCTATAAAAGAGCACTCCAGCCCCAGAAGAGCACACCCCACCCAACCCCCTTCCCCCACATCTGCCATCCCTCCTTTAACAAAAGTGCCATGAAGGAGAGACCTTGTTTTGTCCACCACTCTATTCCCACACCAGCACTTGGCACAGGGTGGGTGTTCAGGAAGGATACTTGTGGAGTGAATAAATGGCTCTTGTTCCCCGAACCAGAAGATCCTTCCCACCTTGGGACCCTTCCATCTCATGCTCATTTTCTACCGCTTACCCACGTCTCCTGGCTCACTCATGGTCTCAGAGCACCTGCCCCCTCCCCAGGAATGCCTTCTCCAAGAGCCCGACCCAAAGCCCCCGCCCCCACCAGTTATTCTATCACCGTCTGATGTTGTTACTTGTTTGCTAAGGTGTGCTGTCTGTTTCTGCCACTAGGACGTTTCTATCCAAGCAGGGATCTCTGGCTACCACAGTGCAACAGTGCCCTCGATCCATCTTTCTGAACGGATGGTGGTATGCATGCGGACATTCTTCGAAAACTAAAAGCACAGTTGCAGGAAAGCAAGGAAAGGGGCTGGGGGACATACACCCTGCAGCTTCTCCCTCAGTGAAGCACCTGGGGCCCCGGAAAACAGCCCCCTCCTGATCGGCTTTCCGTGGTGGCTGTTGGAAGCACTCAGGACCTGGAGGTGGCTTCTGCACAGTGGAAAACAAATCCAAGTTACTAAATAACAGCCCAACATCTGTCACCACAGATGCGCAACTCCATGCACAGCCAACAGGGGCTGCATGGCGCTCCCTGTCCAAATACCGGGCGGCAGGTGTACCTTCTCCCTGAGTGGGCTTTACGGTGGCACTCACAGCTGCCTGGGAGACAGCCACTCAAAAACGGATGACAACCACAGCCCTGGGGGTCAACACCAAGCTCCTGAAGCCTCAGACGTGTCTCCTACGCAGTAAGGATGTCAGGTGACTTCTCCGAAGAGGAAAAATTACCCTCAAGGCCACCGAGAAAGCAGGTGCAAGGCTTAATGGTGCTGCTGTCATGATTGTTGGGGAAGCCAGGAACCACAAAATGTGACTGTGGGCCCGGGGCTCAGCCCCAGCTCAGGGGAGGGGGCAGCGCCGTGAGGGATGCCGGTGACCAACTCAATCAGCCCGGAGAAAAGGTGGAAGCAAGCTCACCCACCCCCAAGACACCCCAGGACTGTGGCTTTGAGAGACAGATACCCTCCCAGGACTTCAACAGGATTCGTAAGTGAGAGTGTTCAAACAAATCCAGTGTGAACACACATTCAGCAAACATTTACTGAAGCTTTGGTGACTCAGGCTCTGTCTAGGTGCTTAGGAGACATGTGTAAGGAAAACAAAAAAGATACCTGCCCTTGCAAAGCTCATCAGTGGGAGGAGGGGGAAAGGAAGGGGAGACAGAGAGAGAAAATATATACAAAAGACTTAAAATTATTAAGTAAGTTGAATCATATGTTAGAACACAAGTGGAGAAATCCAGATTAAAATCACCAATGACCAGTCATGAGATCCCAGCAGCTGAAACCATGTTAGTGGAGTGCAGAGACACCAGAGAAGGTTCTGCTATTGGAAGGACAAAAGTGTCCCTTAGACATAGCAGGACCATGCTAGTCTTGCCGCTTTTGCTCTCTGAAGGATTCTCAGCTCCAGAAGAGTGCCTGGCACAGGGCAGGAGTTCAGCAGGCATCTGTGGAAGAAATGAAATGCTTGCCCACCAAGTTCTTGCTTCCGCAACATCCCTGGCAGATGACTCTCTCAATAGCACTGGAATTTGTCCAAAGGTGAGGAGCTGGGCTTTGACAGCAAATCCCAAAATAAACTTCTCCCCCCAACCCCCATGCATGCTCCCCCCAGGCACCCTTACTGTCCTCTCCTCCTGACTCCTGAGGCATACAAAGGTCTACTACAACCAGCCAGCACACTGGGGGATGCCCGCCCTCGCAAGCACAGTCCCCAACACGACGCCTGGCCCACAAAGGTCATGCCTCCTGCCGGCCACTCACCCCTTCCTGTGCTCGCGGAGCAGGGCCATGCCTGAGCACTGGGCCACCTGCTGGGATATGCAACAGAGCACGGTAGTCTGTCCACGGGGCAGAGATGTGTGTAAACCACACTTGAGAGGTATGGTGTCTTCAGTATTATAGATATTCTAAAGGTACATTATAAACCTCAGTGTTGATCTGGTTATTTTACTTGCCAAAGCTAATTTAAATAGGTGCTTCATATTACTGGGAAGAAAATGTGGAAAATACAAAGGGGTTACCCCCAAAATTTGACACGCTCCAGCTAGAAGCAATCATCACAAGAAATGGCGTATGTAAAATGTGCTTCTTAAAGTTAGGTCATTTCTTCGTATTATGTTAGATCGATTCTAATATAGTAATCTGTGTATCATTAAATGTTTAACTTATTAATACACGTGGGCATGCTTTTTAAGACATAAAATACATGACTACTTAACCAAGCTTAGAGGGCAAAGGAAGAATACAGCAGCATATGAGTTAAAGGGAGTTTCTATGATTCTTTTGCTTCCCACCCTCTTTAACCTTGTTTTTCTAAACTTTAGTTAAATATAAACTTACCTTTTAGCTATTTCCTAAATAATTTACAACTGCTATCATATTCAGTTCTTTTCCCACTTACTTCATCTGTGGACTTGAGGGTTAAGTGTTATTACTTTTCACATAATTCAGTGGTGACCCATCAGCAGATCCAGATTCTTCCTTAAGCTGACCCACAGTGAGGTTTAAGGGCAAGGAAAGATTCATGACTTCTGGTCCAAACTGATAGCAACACTAACATGTAAACAATCAGGTCATGGCTTGGAAGGGAAGGGAGAAGGTCAAAGATTACATAGTACAAATGCTGACGTTCATAAAGCAAGGTTGAAGACTCAGGCCTAAGATGGTGAGGGTCAAGAGGCGGGGGAGTCTTGCTTTGAGGAGATACTTAGAACACCTCCCCGTTAGAGAGTCTGTAATCAATCAAGATCGCTTGGTATTTTAAGTGTCTCCCAAACTACTGTAAATGAAGGGCTCTGAAATTATTCCATTCTGAAACCCATGACCGATTTTGTCACAACCAAATGACAGCAAACGTTAGTACAGAAGTTTGCGGTCATTGCACGTAAAGAGCTGTGGAGGACATTCCTTGGGAAACAGAACTTGTCACAGACACATGAGAATGCTGCTTGTCTAACGGAGACGGTCTGTTTACAGATTGATTTCCAAGTCCATTTTCTAAATAAAAACAGTAACAGGCCCATCCTGGGGAAGCATTAGGCCGTTCACAGAGCTATGTGGGAGGTATGGCCTGGGTCCTCTATCTCTGCTCTTTTCTTTCTCACGCATAATCAATCTGAACACCACTGTGGATAACATCTCTCTGATACAGAATGTATCGTATACACCCACCCATTTTTGGGGAAAATCACCTCAGATAGCTGGCATGAAATCAACGTCCACCTGAAAAGTACTTCCAAGAGCCACCTAATAAAATCCAAAACTATGGCCAGGAATCCAAAACTACAGAAGTCCAGGCTGGTTTCTCTAAATATGCCAGAGAGAAGTATTCAGTGTATGACACTTGATAAACCCACAGCTGTGGAACAATGTCTTCCAGTCACAGAGGTGAACCCAGAGGGGACTCGTTCTCACAACAGCATTTCCTTTCTGGACAGGAATGCACAGGACGCTTGTCACAGCCTCTACGTAAATACTGAGATCCGGCAGCTAACTCACCATCATCCACCTTGCTCAGTTTGAAAACCAGAATTTCACACCTGAAATCACCTTCCTTTTTTTGCCTTTTTGCAAAGCAAAGCTATTAAAGTCCTAGCAAAAAAATAAACGCGTGTATGTCAGGGACACTCCACCTTAAGGGTCCCAAAGATTCAAGGGTGTTCCCTCTTAGGATAGAGCTCTATTTTTGTCGAAATAAAAGGTCTTAATATAGTCAGGGGCACCTGGGTGGTTAAGCATCTGCCTTCGGCTCAGGTCATGATCCCCGGGTCCTGGGATCGAGCCCCGCCTCGGGCTCCCTGCTCAGTGGGGAGCCTGCTTCTCCCTCTCCCTCTGCAGCTCCCCCTGCTTGTGCTTGCTCTTCCTCTCTCTGTGTCAAATAAATAAATAAAATCTTTTTTTTTTTTTTTAAGAAAAAGTTCTTAATATAGTCTTTTGCCTACAGACCTCTGGATGTAAATTACAGATTGCTGTTAATGCAGTGGAAGAGATTTGAGGCAAAGGATATTTCTTTCGTAAAATCTTATGCATCAGAATATACAACCTAAGCTATAAATATTTATCAAAGGATAATATGACATATTTACTAATATTTCCATCAAAATAACAACATCTAAACTGTCATTTTAACAGTCTAGCTTCTTGTGTTTCAGCACAGAGGAGCCCTGGGATATAGCCTCTTTTCTTTTTAAAGAGAAATGTGTCGTGACAGTGCCAAAATCAGGAGTAGCTTGAGTCTGCAGAACGAAGCCCTATGCCTACATCAGTAAGAGTAACAGAAGCATTTGATTACATAGACGCTGGCTTTCCATAAGCCCTGAAACATGATGAGGCCTCCATTTTCATGACAAATGTTTGAAAATGCTTTTAAGATAGATTCGTTTATTGACAATACGAGATTTTTTTTCAAGTACTTGTTTTCCCCTCCTAAAAGGAAGATGTTTTGCCGTGTTAATTTTCACATCTGTCAGTGAATGACAACTGGATCTGTTGAGTAAACATGTATTCTTTTTTGACAAAGAAACTTCACGTAGCATTCAACTCTTAATGGAATTTCAGGATCGAGTGCAAGAGAAGTTGGAGTGACTTCACAAACAGTAATATCTAATAGTGCACACACCCTAGAGGTTCTCTTGCAGTGGCCTCTGGGGAACAGGCCAGCCTTTGTATCAGCATAGAAAAGAAAGGCCAGGGCTTTTCAGGAAGAAAAAAAAAATCAATACAGCGATATACAATGGTAGACAAAGCTACACGTGTTTACAGAGTTTTAGCACATAGAAACATCCGGTTCAAAAGCCTGCTGAACTTAAATCTGTACTGGGACTCTCACAGGAAGCAACCCCCAACAAAATATCAACTCTCATTGAACAACAACAAAGAATTCTTTTGTTTAGACACAGAATATCGGTACAAAATATCCAGAAACTAAAGCAAACTTTTCTAAAAGAAAAACACAGTAAATTCAAGGGAAAATATCCAGTTGTTAAGAGGAATGATGATTGTTTAAAATCTGGACCTTGGGAGTTTGGCCTCACACCTGCTTCCACCTGAGGAGGTTTAAAAAAAAAAAAAAAATATATATATATGTATTTTTTATATGCATATATATGAATGAAAGAGCCCACGATTTGCACCAGCCATAATGATCTTAATATGGTAACCTGCATACTAAGTACCCACCAGAATTTAGCCTTTGATGAAAATGGCCACACATTGGTAGCTTTTACTTTAAAAATCTCTTTCCAAACAAAGATCAAATCAAAAGAGGCACATTCTGAAATTAGAAAGATTTTGTCAATTTGTCTTCCATATTTCCAGAGACAATCTCACTCAGAAATCTCACTTGTGAGTGCTTCTGTCTTTCAAGATACATGAAAATGTCTCATAAATGCTAAGTTCATATAACAATGGGTATCTGTGTGGGTGCCAGGCATCTTCACTCCTTCCTGACCTTAAACGGCTACCATGTGAAGGCTTCAATTTCATCTCTGATACATTTAGACTCATTTGGAGTCTGCCAATTAAACACTCATTTGAATCAGCAGATAAATGGGGGTCAGGTGCTGAGCGAAGAGAGCTGTCAGCCATTTGCACCTTAAAGCTTAACGTTAGGAAGGCAATCTGACTCAAGTAGTCCACAAGAAGGGAATGTGGGGGTGTTTAAGGTAATAGGGAGGACAAAAGGAGATTTTTCTCTTAACTGTTTGGTTGGCCCTATAAAGGGGAAAACTGTATAAACTGCCCTATCTAACCCCTTCGACTTCACCCCCTGCTAGACGAGGATCCATACCTAGATTATGTACTGGAAGTAATTAGAGCGGATTTTTCACTCTGCCAACTTCCCTCTTTCCTTCTGCTTCTCCCCCTCCAAACCATACCATTGAAACCCTCCATTTGTGTTTGTGTAAAGTAACAGGAATCTTCAATGTGCTACCTTCTGTTTGTACATCATTGCCACACCACACGATAAATGTGCATAGCATTAACTACATCACATGTGCCTTGAATCTGAACTCATTCTAGCACTATAACTCTGTTTACTAAAATACACCCAACCTTTACTGGTCACACAGCATTTTCACCAACTTACAAAGTAAAATGGAGTCAGATATAATATGTGGTCTTTTGTGACTTGGCTTCTTTCACTTGGCATCTTGTTTCCAAGATTCATCCATACGTTTCACTCTTCATCAAATGGTGAAAGGATTTGTCCATCTGTGATACCAAGGCTTTGGACTGGAAAACTGTCCTTGTTTCAGACCACACAGTAGGTGGTCATAGAGAGGGATGTTAATCTGTTTGAACAGTTCACCAATTTTCATCCTTTTGCGAGTAAAATTTAACAATAAAAAAAAAGTAAACCCCCAATAAGTTTAATAGTAAGTCAAAAATAATAAATTAAAATAATTAGAGGAAAAGATACAAAACAAGTTAGTTGTTGCTTCTG